TTATTTTTATTAACATTATATAGATATGCAAATTAAAAAGTGTACCAATTAAATACATTTATCTTCTGGATTGACAGAGAACATTGGCAGTTGATGATACTTTGTCCCAAATAAAATCAAGTGGTTTGGTTGTGCTCGTTGAGAAGAAATCCCAGCATAGAGTTGATGAACAAGATTAACAGGTTTGTTTTTAAATTGATAAATTAGATCGATTTTGTAGTTAATTTTTCTTTGCTAATTTCAAATATATTATCTTTTACATTTTAGCTTATTTTGTCTTTTAAGTAATATTATGAATGTTTTTTATGTTTCAGTGCATTTCGTGCATACTTCATGGTTGAGGGAAAACGTAACCTTAGAACAGAGAAGCCTAAATGGGTTCGACTTAAGGTAAATTTAGTGAATGATGTTAGTTGTTTTTATTTTGGGGAGTTATATTATTTCCTTCATGGTTGTATGCATCGATTTAGTTTGTGTAGTATAAATGATGTTTTTATGTTTTTCATACAAGTGTCGAAAACAATTGGGAGAAGAAGCATGTGGATATTTTGTCATGCGGTATATGCTCGAGATTATATCACTTGACATTACCAACTCGTTCGAAGAGGTAAGTTTTAATGAAAATCAAATTTTTGATGTATTTGAAATCGCACAATTCAATACAGGTTATAGTGATAATATTTGTTATTGTATCATGTAGGCTTTCAACATTGATGAGCCATATTCGGACGAGGACATTGAAAATATAAAAATGAGGTGGACGAAGTACTTTCTTGAGGTTACTTCATTAGGAAAATAGACTATCAGTTTACTTGCATTTTATGGAATTCGAAATTTATAACTGTGGTTGATGACTATTGTTGGTGTAGTGCATATGAAAACTATTTTTTTATAACTTGGCGTTGTTGAAATATTTTGGTTGTTAGTATTTGTGATGTGAGTTTTTGTTGAATTCATGGAGTATTTTGAATGTATGAATGCTTGATTTTACATCGGTTTTATAGGTAAAAAAAAAATGTATATTTAAATAAAATTGTTCTAAATGCTTGATTTTACATCGGTTTTAAAAGCTGATGTAAAAATCGATGTAATAATCCAAACATTTTACATCGGTTTTTAAAAAGCCGATGTAAAAAGACTATTACGACAAAAAGGTTTCATGTCGGTTTTTATCAATGATCGATGTATATACAACTTTTTGCATCGGTTATTACAAAAACCGATGTTAAATGTCTTACTTTATATCGGTTGTATATAAAAACTGATGTAAAAGGGTTCGATTTTTTTCATTTTTTAAGCCCTATTTTTTCCCTTATAACATCGGTTGTTGGGCAAAACCGATGTAAACAAATTCTTTTTCA